ACGGATTCGCTTTTTAAATAATTACAACTACTTTGTGAGGCGTGACTCGAAAAAATGGTTCGGGACTCTTCGACTCAGTTTTTCATGAGAAATATCACTATACATATAAATGGTGGGCGCGAATTAGAATACACCCTGTATATCCCACATAACACGTAATATTACTGATATATTACGTAATATTATGTGCTATGTGGGATCGAATAATCGTGAATTCTAATAATTCTTTCATCATCTAGCAAGTTAAATTGGCTAACATTACTATTTTCGATATGATATCTTCGCTGAAATTCATTTAAAGTTCAACAAAATCCATTCCATAAGATAATCTTTTGAAAAATAAAAACGTAAACGAAAAGACAATCGGATTACTTGTTTGCACTTTAATCTATGATTTCATCAGTAAAGATTAAAGATATTATAACGTTTTATGTATTTCTATTTTATAATCTATCTTGGATTGATTTCTATTAAGCGGGATTAGTTGTACATATTCATGCAAGGTTCTGTCCGATTAACATTGCCCGCGAAAAACTTCAATAATTATTGATTTTGAAATTGACCTGTGGCAGCACATCGATTGAATAATCAATGATATTAAAATTAACGCTTTACATCAAGCTGTAACCTCAGGTTGAAAGCGGAAAACGACAAATAGCTCTTCGGTGCATTATAACAAGTGATATTTTTTCCTATCTGTTTCAATATGAAACTAAACCTGCTCCATTATAGGTGCACGGACATAGGTGGCTCGATAAGTATCAATGGAGAACTGCGGGAGTTGCACGAGTTCACGAAGATGTCGTGTTATATCATGCAAAACGATATCGTACAACCAAATCTTACAGTTTTCGAGGCAATGTCCTTTGCCGCAGACTTTAAGCTCGGCAAAGGAAAATCTAAATCACAGAAACGCGCCGTTGTAAGTAAAGAAAAAAGGCGGCAAGTATAAGCGTCATTCAAATGAGAACTATACGATTTAATTATTTGGAAATATTTTGTTACGAGAAAAAAATATTTCTATCTTCTCCACAAAGATAATTATTTCACTTTACGGTCCGAGTCTTCAATCCGAGAAATGTATAACCAATCAACTTGCAATTAATATATTTCAACTGATGGAAGTTGAATATCCGACGATGTCAGAGTCTCTCAACTTTTGTACTCGCGTAAACATACGCGGTCGGTATCGCACACACGCGGTTTTCGCTGCGCTCATACCTGGCGCGAGACACTATACCGCACATTGGAGGACAAACGAAGAATGCACCAATTTAAATTGCAAAGAATATAAAAAATTAATGCTATGCGTCAGACTGTTGTAGGACTAAAAGTGGCGATCAGAATTTTTTTGTAACGTTTAGCATAAAAGCATCTTTTCTGCCGCGCAAATCGCACGCAAAATACATCGCGGAGATACATTTTACAGAGTATCAACGATTTATTTCAGATAGATGAAATTCTAAGTACTCTTAGATTAACGGAAACACGAAATACGGTTACAGACAGGCTCTCAGGTGGTGAAATAAAGAGACTATCAATCGCACTCGAGCTCGTAAATAATCCACCTGTTATTTTCCTCGACGAACCGACCACGTAAGTATGTTGATACATAATAATTTTCTAATTATTGCACTTACATTCTGTAAGAGTAACTCGGAAAGTACTTCATAAAAGAATACTTAATATTTATTTTAAAAACGTCTCAAGAAGGGCCACACCTTTTATCTCAAGGGAATAATTAAGTTTCATTTAAGAAATTAGTCACTTTTAAAATGTCTTGAAAATGACGACATTTACAACATGACTCACGTTAGAATTATGTGTCTCCCTTTAAACCAAACAACTTTTGTCTAAAGTATTTTTTCTATATTAAAAACTAAGTAAAAAGTCTGTAATTAAACTTTTAATCGACCATAATTGGCAATGCGTTTGTAACACAATTTATTTAAACAATTCCAGATATGATATTATGAATTTGCTACCACAGACTCATGAACTCATTCTGTTTCGGCATAAATTAAAATGTTCAGTCAACTTTAGGTAATTTTTCATCTATATACATACTAAAGAATCTTGTTCTATACTGCGGTTTGAGCACTTATAATGTTTCCAGACTGTACTTGAGAAGGACCCGATAAAGGGGTCGAAACGTGATTAAAATAAACATCAATTTTGCCAGTTTGGTCGATTTTTTTAAAATTCCCCTTGGTTACACAAATGTTTTTATGAATTGATAGTTCCATATGCAAAACGTGCAAAAGGTGTAAAATCCCTCCAGCATCCCCTTAAATAACGACGAAGGAATTTCGTACGGAGATGCTATCAGATTCCGTTCTCGGAGAGCACTGTTATTGCAAAAATATCGTAAAAAGAGATTTTTCGTTTTCCAGCGGACTGGACGAGTTATCTTCCGCCAAGTGCATTGATATTCTCAAAAGATTGGCGCATTTAGGAAGGACTGTCGTGTGCTCGATGCACACACCCAGCGCGAGTACATTTAATAAATTTGATCACATTTACGTCCTGACGGACGGGCAATGCGTTTACAGGGACAGCACGAGTAACTTAGTGCCATTCTTGCAAAACATAGGCCTAGAATGCCCAAAATATTACAATCCGGCGGACTTTAGTAAGTTAAACGCATAATGTCGCATGTGCGACTTTTATCGCCTATGTAATCGTATTTCTCATCTCGTTTTTCTCACCTCGCTAAATTAGCAATAGACATTTGAAGGCTAGAAATGTAGCCTACGGCTATTTTCAATCACTGCAGAAAGTTATTATTCATGATATGCATAATAACTTTCATAATATGCATATGATTTATTTATATCATTGAACAATATAGACTGGTTAGTACAGCTTCGAGATCTCTTTACATATATAATGCAAAGAAAATTATCAGAATTAAGAATTAACAGACTACAATTTAATTTCTAATGAATTAGGAAATAATTAATTAAATATTTATATGTAGTTTCGCTTGAATAAAAAACAATTGTATTAACAAAGTTACATTAATATTAAATATTCATTTCAGTAATAGAGACCTCGTCGGGTGAATATGGCTTCGATCTGATCGAACGGATGATTGCGTACATAAACGCTGAACAACCGCTAGTTCCAATTTTTCATTCGAAAAGCGAGTTTGAGCTCGAAAAAAGAATTCCAAAAATCTCATGGTTCTATCAGTTCAAAACACTAGTAAGAAGAATGATACTGCAGCTTTATCGAAACAAAGTAAGATTAGCGTATTTTCCTGCTAGAGTTAAATTTATCGAAAATTAATTCTGTAAAGTGTTAAGCCCACTTTACACGATCTGTAATTCGCGACAGAATTCAAGATAGAATTCTATTTTATAATTTCATATATTAAATTGACATATGTTTGTACATTAGGTTAGTGTAGGTTATAACATTTACATATGGATGAGGTCCGTTTTCCCTGCCGATTGGACACAAATACTCACAGCAATCAATGCTTAAGGTTTTTCATTAGACCAGATACAATTAATCAATCACGCATTTTCATGCACTACACATATTTGATGCATCTTTTCTATTTACAAAATTGGAGCATTATAATTATAATTCTGATTGTTCAAATGTTTTCTGTATTACACGATACATAAAAATTTTTAAATGGAATTCTGTCTCGAATTCTGTTGCGAATTATAGATTGTGTAAAGTGGGCTTTAGCTAATAAATTTTATTGATAGAAATATAAAAAGAATATGTCACGTCGTAATGATATTATCTGTTTAAATGACCACTTTGTATCCATTTAAAAGGTCAGGGATACTAAAGTCTATTTTATCGATATATTTTGTTGCATCTTTCAATTTAATTGACTTTATAAAATTGTAAAATTCTTCCGCGCATTTAAAATATACATAAAATTGAAGGTCAACTTTATATAAAAAACAAAGAGAAATTAAAAATTACGTATACACAAAATAAGGGTCTCTCACCTTTAAAAGCATCATGTAAGAACACTATCCTGCAATTAGGACTAACAATAAGATTAAAAGCCTAGGAAAAAAGATATTCTAAAAAAAAAGTATTCTATTTGATCTTTTCATCTTGGCTTCTAATCCGAGTCCCAGTTGCAAGATAATTGTATTACAAGAGATCCACTAACGTAAGAAACGACACTGAGTGATGTTGCAACTGTATACTTGTAGATGAAAAGAAAATACGTGAACATTCTCTATTATAGAGCTAACAAAATTATCAGGTGGCTAGATTTTAGATCTCTTCTAAAATCAATTGTACACATAAAAATGAGTAGTTTTTTTTGTGTGTTTACAGAATTATGTGCACATGCAGTTATGGCTACATATCTTTTTGGGGCTAGTACTCGGCTCATTATTTTATAATATGGGCAACGACGGCTCCAAGGCTCTCTTCAATTTCGGCTTTTGCTTCGCAAGCCTGATATTTACGTTGTATATGCCTCTACTGCCCCCATTAATGAATTGTAAGGAAAAATTCCTCTCTGCACATAGAAAATCACAAACAGTGCATGCAAAAATAAAAATCAATTTCCTGACTGATCAAATTTAAATATCAATTTTATGTTTGCGGATATTTCCTCGATATGAAAGTCTTACCATTAGTAAGCATTGGTCATACAATCAACAATCATTTTATGATTTTATAATACTCATTTTATCGTTAATTGCCATAACTGTATTCAAAAATTAAATTTCTTAAAGGCACGATTCGTAAAGACACCGAAATACTTATAGACTTTATTTTGAAATATATCGTCTCTCAGAATTGTATTTTATTATTTTCTCGTTGCAGTTCCTAAGCAAGTCCAAATAATGAAACGGGAACACTTCAATAAATGGTACAAATTGAGCGCGTATTATTGGGCTTTAACAGCAGTCAATATACCTTGGCAGGTTGGTCGTCTGTAAATTATCTTTTATATATGGGTATATTATACAGCTAAGATCTTTTCTTCGATAGCTACCGAATCAAATCTTAATTTCTTAGGATAAAAACGTTGCCCCATGTGAACTATATATAGCTCCTCGCATCGTTAATGGTTACAATTTTTGGGGGAAGAGCTTAAATTCCTTAACAAAGAGATTACGTCTCATTATTTTACGTTAAATCTTCTACTTGATCCTGATCCCCTTAAACTGTCTATCCAAATCTATCCAGATCTATCCAAACGTTGTAAAAATCATTTTTGTTTTTTCCCAGATATTTTTTACATCTTTATACCTTTCAATGGTCTACTGGATCACAGGGCAGCCCCTGGAGTTGCATAGAATTCTCATGTTTTTCAGTACTTGCTTCATGTGTGCCTTCATTGCGGAAAGCATAGGGCATAACATTGCCAGTATATTTAATATTACGGTATGTTCAAGATTGCATCGCGAGTACGGCATAAGAGAGAAAAACTCTCCTAAGATTGACGAATAATGTGTATACCTTTCACAGAACGCTACATTCTTCGGACCCGCACTATGTTGTCCCTTAATGCTACTTGCGGTACAAGATTTCGGCGAATCAATCGCTCCTCGATCAATCTGGCGGTCGATTCTAATGTATATAACTTACTTCCGGTACGGGCTGGAAGCTCTCACGGTGACTACGTACGGTTACGGTAGACAGAGACTACCTTGCCCGGTGGAAGAAACATACTGTCATTTCAGTTCACCCAAACAAATCATGCGAATCATAGGTAGGAACCTACTGATCAGATTTTTCGAAAGTCACGTAACCGGTTAAGTCGTTCTAATATCCGTCTGACGTGTTACGTATAATTGCGTGTGTTTTCCGTATTAATAATTTTCCGCAAACTTCGTATCCGATAATCTGTAAACGCCTGAAATGTTTAAGCGAATTTGTCTGCGTTCCAGGTATGGAGAATCCTCCCAATTTCTGGATAGACATATCTGCTCTTTTCATCATTTTATTTATTTCTAAAGGGTTCGCATATTATTTCCTGAGGCAAAGAGTACAACCAAACAAAATTTTCCAGATGTTCCAGTTAAAGAAATTTCTTTAAGAACAATTTCAATATGTGATTCTTAGTATAATTTATTTTCCCATCATGATGTGTCAACATTATACGCGTCGCTCGATGCTCTCTAAGTAAACAAACGAGTGCCGTAAACTATTTGCAGCGAAAGTACATAATTATTATTATATCGAACGTAATAGTCATTATAACTAAAATAAAAAAGAACGAAAATAAAACAAATTATATAAAATTGAAAGAAATAATTCATTATACAACCTTCGCTGAATAAAAAGAAATAAATTTATGTGATCTTATTTCAGTCACTACACCGTCAAAAGTAAAATATTGCGCGAGGTAAGTGCGAAATAAGATAAAGTATTTCTATAATGCAAAATTTATTAACTATATTAAAATGTGAATTTGCATACGTAGAGTTTTTATTATCCCTGTGTAACATATTAGGTAGAATGTGATTAAATTAAATTAGATTACATGCAATTTCAATATAATTAAATAAGAGTCTTATTAATTTACATTGAAATTACATCTAATATAATCCGATCCAGGGTTGGGAAGTAACTCGTTACTTGTAACGAAGTCACAGTTACAGTTACTTTTTTTTAGTAACTTAACTTTGTTACTTTCTCTGTAACTGTAACTTGACTCAGTTACATTTTTCGATAACTAGTAACTAATTTAATAGCTACATTTAAGTTATTTTATATATTTTTTAAACCTCCACAAATTGTATAGGCCTTGCCTTTGCGTATAAACGCGTCCCTATAGAAGCACAATTCATTGGCTATGCATTGGCTAACATTGGTTAAACATTAGTTATGTTGGCAGTGCATTGGCCAATATTTTTCCAATATAACACCAATATTGATTATAAAAGGAATACAAATATACTACAGATATTGTCTATCTATATAAATACAAATATATTACAGATATGTATAACCTAGATGATTTCTTAATATTGGATTGATTGCTTTGGCCCTGATTGCCTAATAAAATTGTAATATTGAATATAGAATAAATGCTAATGTAACGCCAATATTACGTATCAATAATCGCACGGTATTGTATTTATATTGAAAGTGCATTGCAAAACTATGAGACCCTCCATCATCCCTGCCAATGTCGATCGGCGGCCCTCTTTCCTTTACAATATGATTTTTTACAATTTTATTATTTACCTCATTTTTCTTGTAATTTCCTTTACAATGTATGCAATATTATAAAAGAAATAATTACATTTATAAAATTAAAAATATAATATCTGTACAATACAATATTTCTCTCGACGTTACATATGAAATATGCATACAACAATATGAAATTCTTGCAATGTAAAATATATACATATTGCATGTTTGGGATAAAAAATATCCCGAATGTATTTACTAATGATCTCTTAAGAGTAAATCAAATCTACAAATATTTTAAGTAAATTTAAAATAAAAACTTATAACAAACGCATACCAACTTCCATCTTATTATATGCATCCAATTGTATATTCAATATTACATTTTTCTAATTTCTGCAACTAATGTAAAATTTAAAATAAATACAACAAAATTACAATGTAAAGTTTCTAATAATAATTTTGGTGTAATTTTATACATTTTTATATTTTATTTATTTTATTTTATTTATATTTTATTTATATTATTAATATAAAATAATAAATAATTTTATTTAATAAAAATTTATAACATTTTATTAAAAATATATTAACTTATAGAGTTTTTATTAAAAATAATGCCAAATATGATTATATTTATTAGTAATATATTGCAGTTATAATTTTATCTATCTTTTAAATTATCGAGTTATGTCCCCTTGTCCCTGCCTACCCGAATCCCTACCTATCCTATCCGTATTCCGCTGTATAGTCTTATCCATTTTCCTACCTACCCGCGTTTCAACTTTTTGTTAATAAACCTGCCCTTTCGTTAAAACCGCGACGCGATTTATAAGAGGTCCGATTTGTGGTTGTACGCGCGCGATTGGGATTTAATAGGGATCTTTTTAATCTCGCACTAGAGTCCTACCTATCCATTTTCTATCTATCCGCGGCGTGTTTCAATATGATGAACCTACAAAGTTTTAATTAATAAAATCACGACGGGATTTTTGGGACCTAATTTGGAGTGTAAACACGCGTAATTTTTCAGGGATTCGATTTGGAGTTTACCACGCGCGTGGGATTTTAATTGAGATTTTAATCCCGCGTATATGCGAGAATATATAAAGAAAAATAACCCACCCGAATTTTAACAAATTAAAGAAATGAACTTATTTTGTACATCGCCTGACGTACTCCATCACAGTGGCCAATATTGACCACTCGCCGTAGGTCTTCTTCGTTGGGCCAGATTGGACATACCTTTCGTTGCTCCTGGCCATACAGTCTGGTCATTTCGACCAGAAATCAGGAAGGAAGAAAACTCCTTCCATAGTCGGTTTATTATTGTCACCGACAGATATTTCGTACGGTTCGAACTATACGCGAGCGTCGATAGTATTGAAATGCACGACCACGAGAAGTTAAGTAAAGAAAAAAATTAATTTAAAAATTGTACTGTACAAAACTCATTAAATATATTTTTACTTCCGTTATTTAATCAAGAATCGATAATGACTGTCTCGTCGTGACTCAATCTCCAAATTTGAAATTTAAGTATATATGTGTGTATATAGGAAAAAAAATTTACTTCGCGTTAAATTTAGTTTTATTACATTTCGCGATAAATTAAAAATTTTAATATTAATGAAATGAAACAATTAATAACTTGTTGAAAATTTGCTGAAAGACTTTCGCGAAGACCGACCGCGAAAATACGAAGATGCGTGTAACTATGCATGTATAGTATTCATGCGAGACGCATCTTGAAAGTGTATCGTGAGATACACATACAGAATAAATGACGTGAGACTCAGAAAAAAGAAACTTTCCGTACGATAGATAGACCGACAATTGAATATTCTAGTAATCTAGTATCAATAATCTCATATAACGTATAAAAATAATACGAAGTTTCAGCGTTCTCGGCAAAATATTATATTAGAGTCTCACGTCATGTTTTACTTTACACATAAATTTGTTAATGCAAGATGGATAGGCTACAATTGAAAATATGTGATGCGCTGCAACGGGGCATCCGAACCTCCACAGTAAAAATTACGATTACTCCTTTTCGATAGATAAAATATATAATAATAAATATGAAATGAAATTGTACTCTATCCATTTTGAGGCAACGTATTTACGAGATATACTAATCTACAAACCAAGATCTACAATCTACGATCTACGAGATGCCCTGGTGAAAATAGAATTTGGAGCGTAAATCGAATGTAAGGGGAGAGTGACAGAAGCGTAAACGAAATGTGTAGGAAGCGCAATTTGGAACAGGCGAGGCGTAAAAGAAACCTCAACATTTCGTTTACGCTTCTGTCGCTCTCCCCTTACGTTCGATTTACGCTCCAATTTTTATTTTCACCAGAGTGTAGATACGTTGCCTTAATAAAAAAGTTTTTGACTTACCATCCGACGCGCAGCAGCGGAGTCAGCTAAGTCGATTCTGTAACAGAAAAATATAGAATTTATTAAAGTGTTCAAGGAAAGTAATATTATAAAATATGAGCAATACTTATGCTTATTAAATGCTTTATTCGATTGGATATTTTAATGATTAATCCGCAAAAGATCCTCACAAGAATAAACTTTTATAAAACTTTAAATTATTTCGTGTTCACTTTATTATTTCAAAATAATAGAATTAGGAAATAAAACGACTCGAAAGTGAGCTGGAAAAATATTAATTTTACACTGAATAACAAATACTCACCGTAAAGTTGCTCCGCTGGCGCCCGATGCCTCTCCTGGCCTCCTCCTCCACTCAGATAGTCCTCTGGGCACACACTCGCGAAAACACAAAGATCGTTCGCGCGATTTTACACTCCCGTTTATAAGCCCATGTGAAGGTATTCTGTTCCGTCAAGTTCGCCTCCACTTCGAGTCGACGAGTATTATACCACAAATACTGCCAAATCTCGGAAGTGTGGCCATCGACAGGAACGGACATTTAACGAATACTTGTTCCTCAAATGGGCTTTGAAAAGTCTTTGGTTCGCATATCTAAACGGCACTCCCGAACGCGACGAAAATGGAAACTTTATGTTATACGCGTAGAAACAAATCGCCGTAGAAATATGTTTACGGATCACAGTAATTACTTAAACGCAATTGATAAATGTTATCAACTCTCGTACGAGACGATCGAGATTCTCGTAGGAAACGATCGCGTTATGACGAGCGACGCGAAGACACGCGGAACATCCGTCTCGTTCGAACTGAGCACGTCGACTAATTCGGCACAATAGATTGTTTTCGATCGAGGTGTCCGCGCTACGTCATTTCTCGGAACCGGGGCGGCGCGCGGTTTTTCACCGAGTTAATTGTTTACGACGCTACGTCACAGTTCTTGGAATCCAAGGTCGGTCTACGGCGCTCGGCGAAACAAGGTGACGCCGTACGCAGGATCATACACTCGGTGACAATCGAATAAATCGATTATACCCGCGCCGCTCTGCATATCGTATTATACTTTCTTGATACGCGTTCGCGACAAGTACGGGAGGAAATCGCGATCGCTCTCTGCGAATAATTGGTGATCGATATTATCGCGTGATCGACCTGAATCCCCGCGATTTGCCATCGATGCTCGGTTAGCCAGCAAGACAAATATCTAGCGCGATTTACATATGAGATCTATACATCTACGAATTAAAGCGCTAGCGAACTTGAAATTATTTCTTCACTGCGATAATTACGGACGATAATTGACGATAAAAAAAACTTCTTTAAATGATGCTTGTATTCGGATACATTTCGTATCATCGTAGTGAGTCTCTCGTCGTTTCAAGTATAATTTGTCGGCTGTTTCTAGGCTGAAAACGAGAAATAATACACGAAATACTGAATCTGAATGCTTTAACTAGCATTTATCGGTGATTTATTATTAGTTTATATATTTTATATATTATTATACATATTATTTATATATTAACTATTAGTTAATATATTTTTTACGGAATTTATAAATAAAAATACATATGCGACAGTAAATTTTTAATTATTTTCGGATGATTGTGTCTCGATTAACCGTTGACTCAGTTGCGTTTATTGCACGGCGTTGATGTTAAAATGTAGAATTTTTAAATTTTTCGTTTATCAACGAAAATGTATAATCTTGAAATTCTTCTTTTTTTAACGGAATCATACAAATGTTGGTCAGAATACAGAACTTTGAATTGAATTTCGTTGCAATATGTTTAATTGAAGAATTAGATACAATTAATCTTATCTGTGCTTCATTATATTGTAATATTTACTCATCGATAGTTTAACTTAATGTATCGGCGATTTCTATTGATTAAAATTGGTACCATTGGATAATTATATCATACCTCAGTGGTCGAATTGGTTGAGACGCCCGCCTAGAGCGATGGGAGGTCCAGGTCCAGGTTCAAACCCTGGCTGAGGTAATATTTCTCGCAATAAATTTTCTGTGTTAAAAAACACATAGCCAGTCATGGTCGATTAACTGCATTGCATTGCTCCATCATTATCTCTACATTGTAAATGTGCATGTTTATGATAAAATATTAACAGAAATTTTTCTAATTGTATCTAGAGCTTGACAACGATTAAGTCATATTTATCATTGAACATACGCATTGCGTGTCATAAGACATAGGACAACAAGGAAAACATTTAACAATAAATGTAAATAAATGTTGTTAAATAATTCGATGTGAACTTACATGGTTATATCAAATTCGACAAGCTTTCATTTATTCTTATTATATAATATAATTTTTAACAAGATTTTAATCTACGCTAATCACACTTCTTATTAATCACGTAACGATCTCGCTAACGCAGTCAAGTATAGAAAAATGCATCACAATACAGAAATTATTGTTCTAAAATTTATTGTACCAAGCTTAAATTATATTTTACAAATTATTTCGTATATTACACAAACAAACACAAACATATGTAGTTTAACACTCTCTCTCTCTCTCGTGGTTAAAAATATATAAACTTTATTAGAAACATACACATGGCAGTGTAAATATAGGTGTGCTCTCATAATGATGCTTGAATTAGCAAGATCAGGTAGAAAATATCATTTGCTATCTGGACAGATTATATAAAAAACGGTAAAGATGGTGATAATAGAGAAAAAAATGTGGGAGTGTTAAGTGCCTTTAGTTCCGCTACTCCCTCGGATCAGTCACCATTCTGTTTTCACACGGAATAATTTCTCACTTTTCATTATGCATAGGTATAGCATAGCGTCGTGTATTGTCTTGCTTTATCTACTGTGTGTCACACATAGGCGAGTAAAACAATATACATCTATGATAGAGATATCAAAATTAATTGATCAAAATAAATGTATTAGTGTTAGCATCTGCGTACGTGCACAGGCACACGCAAATGTTTTTAATACACTTCCAAAGGAAAGTTCTATTGATGATTACCGATATATCTACCAATATAGTGCACACATCTATAAACTTTCAATTATTTTAATTAAGTTACACGTGAGACAAGCGAATTTCCGGTCCAGTCAAGATGTCACATGAACGTTCTAACGGTTCCATTAGATTTCCCTGATATGCAAGACCTAAATCGATACAGACAATTAAAAATTTTTAGATATAATTCTAATGATTTATATAACATTCAACGAAGTTGATGTCCTCATATTTATTCAGAAATAGTCGTGAACAGTTTGTTTCGTATAACGAAATGAATGCTGACACACGCAGTTGCTCGTTAACTGAACACGACGCGTGGGCCGTCCACAAAATTTGGTCCACCAAATATAGTACATTAAACCCACAGTTTGGTAACAATTTGTTAGAATTTAATTAAATCGCTCTAGCGTCTATAGAAGGCGAATTAAAGGAAATTTGGCTCGATATTCAAATGATCTTTCGAATTACTCTGTAAATGAGCATCGTTTGAATTGTTTCTTTTCGGACGAAAGAAAGCAGTAGATATAAAAAAAACTAAACATATAGTCGTTTTTAATAAATGTATACTTTACTTTCTTCCAGGAGAATCATATGTAATCAGGAGAGATAAGGGAATTTGTTTTTACAAAACATTACAATTGGCAGACTGTGATGACGTGTACCACTTTCCTATGAATTGTGCTAGATCCGAAGATAACATGTCCTAATCATATACCATATTATCATGTAATAGACATAACAGTAATATAAAGGCTTCTGCTGGCTCGATTATCAAGTCACCCTTGGCAAAATTGTGAACACGTCTACAAGGTGGAGGGAGGGGAGAGGGGGAAAATTTTGAAAAGTAATGTCAAAAAGCTAAATTATTCTTGCAACGTACAACGTCATTTTTCGTATTAATGCAGTGTTTTTATGTTAAAAATAATTGTTAAAGTATTAAAGTATATCGGAGACTCTCACTTTGTCATAATGTAATATGTAACTTAACATGAAAAAAAAATTATTTCAATTCGGCAGCTGTGAAACGCAATTTAATTCAATTTATATATGGGTTGTGTGCTCATTACCCAAACGAAAAGGGGAGAGGGGGAGTTTTGAATATGTTTTACAAGTTTATTTTATCAATTATAAATGCTATTTTATTGAAAAAACATTTTTATTTTAATATACGTTGCAAGAATTGTTTTCTCATAATTTTCTCGCTTCTGACGTCATTCAATCCAAAATGGTTACAATGAGTAAACAAAAGCCTTAAAATCATGTATGTATGTATTCGTGCGCGCGAGTGTATGCGAGTGTGTGCCAGCTAGATAAAATTAAATAGAATCATATCACATATACAACATACAGATTCATTTCAAATATTTTATCATAAGAAATCAACATTAAATCTTCATACGAGTTACTAAACAGTACATAACTTTTAGCGTTCTTAATCAATAGCATTAAAAAAATAACATTGGAAATATAGTTCAGATCAAGGATTATGTTATCAGAATTTTTACATTAAATAATGTCTGCAAGTATGTCTTAAAAAAAAACACGTGAAAACAGATGCGAAGATAACGTCAGTTAAAAATTAAAGTATTAATACAAATTTTACATTATTAAAATTGTTAATTGTAACGTCATATTTTAACTGCAACGGATGTATACTTTTTGTTAAGAAAAGGCAGATTATAAAGAAATCAGTTTCGAAAGTCGGAAAAAAATTCGTATATCACACACAGAGTTTAAATTTATCATTTATAATAAAGAATGTCATTATATTAGATTATCATTATCTTATAATTAATCTGTATGATAATATACATTAGTATTTTTGCTTACAAATTAGGGCATTACTGGCTACATCATTCCACCTTCTTTTGAACGATCACGACCGCCGAGGGTACTAGGCCTGTAAATAAAACATTATGCGCAATCTCCAGGAAAATTCCACATCCTTATATGTTAAATATGCAATTATTGGAGGATAGTCCCCTATTATGAGATAGCGGATTTTCAACATCTAATTTTACAAATCTTACTTTCCCCGACGATTACATGCACGATCTAAAACAATAAATTTTTGACTAAACAGATTTCACTCCAAGGGCAAATTCATGGCCGAAAGGAACAGGTGATGCCTATTGTTAATTTCATATTAATTTGACAGAAACCCTGCTACCTTATATTAGGAACTTATTAGGAGCATATCTCATAATAGGGGACTCTCGTCCACTGAAACAATTACAGATACAATTACGACCTGATATTAACACATTATGGCCGATAAATGTTCATAATCAATAAATTATACGCGTTGCATCAATAATAGTAATTATCGCGAATTTTACGTATATATGTATAACAATGTATACGACAATAAATTATCAATGTACAACATACCTAACACATCCAATGGCGTGTCATAATCCTCGTCTGTAAAGACTTTCTTGGGAAACGTGGTCATTAACTGGAAGGGACCAGCACCGTCTGTCCTATTCATTTCAATAAACAGTCTTACTGCAGACAATTGTTCCTTGCTTCCAAAGCTTTGTGTCAAGGTTTGTCCATTGGTAAGCCTAAGCTAAAATGCAACTGTTTGAGGAATGCATGGTCTACATATTTCGATATTTCATACGCATGTTATATTAATACATGAAGTCTGGTTTCAGTGTAATCCTTTCTATGATGCGTGGATGTGGATGAAGGTGCCACTGATAACGGAGCCACAGTAGCATTAACCGGTTGACTGTTTTCAGCAGCCGCTTTAGCTCGCCTCGCCGCTTTGTCAGCCTCTATTTGCGCCCGAACTCTTTGCCTCGCTTCCTTCTCCTCCGCCTTCTCTCGTTTTCTTTGTTCCAGGAGCTTCTGCATCTCCAGCTCTTCCAATCTGTCACATGTGCATAAATAAAGTATACAATTTGCATAGTCTCTCTCTCCCTCCGTTACAGATTTCATCTCTTACTTCTTCCTGGCTTCAGACATCTCCTTTCCCGATCGTATCCTATTCCTTTCCCTCTCAAATGCATTTTTCTTCTCCAGCTCCTCTCTCTCCTTCCTCTTCTGCCTCAACTTCTCCTCCAGCATCTTCAGCTGCTCCCGCTTCTCCTCCTCCGTGAGAGGCTTCTTCTCCTCCGTGCTCTCAGAAAATCTATCGTGCCCAGACTTTGTGGCGTGATACTCGACTTCCAAGCTAGATTTGAAGAGCTTATTGCATCTGCAAAGGGTTTCGGAAAAGAATGACATGTATTCCAACGAGACAGCGATACTCGGTGGAAGAGCGTAACGGGTTAATCTCAATGCTCGGGGGAGCGATTATATACAATAGTTGTAGCGTCTACAAGTCGTATCCCGGCAATTCAACGTACACATCGCACTTCATAGATTTGGCCGTGTCAGTCGTGGACACCGATTGGCTGCTAGCACCAGCGACGTTGTCCTGTATCGGTGCGTCGGCGGCCTCTCTCGGGATCGGAGCGCTCTCGCCCACAACGGGCTCCGGCGCGGATTCCGCCTCGTCCGAGTGGGCCAGCAACCTAAAATGAAAAAACTAACCGTTAGCAAGAATCGCGCGACGAGAATCACGGCGACGTATTCGCGTACCATTCCATCGCCGGTTCCACGCCTTTGTTACCGGTGATCTCCAGGGCCTTCTCCCTGCAACAGAAACGACGTCGTACGTTAGGCCAGCGTAGGTTAGGCATCGAGACGGTGTCGGGCTTTATCTGCGAACTTACGCCTTGGACATGCTGAAACCCATGTCCACGAGGATGTCTATCACGCCCGACGACATTTCGCGCTGCTGGTTGACACGCTCGGCGTACGCACCACCTGAGAAAAACCGTTCACCGCCGGGCACCGTCGTCCAAAAGTTAAATGTCACGTCGAATCGACGCGCTACTCACACCTCGAACGCAGGCCTGAACCCGAGCTCGCCTGCGAGATGGCGACAGCCATCAAGAGCACCGATTTCGAAAATTCGAAACCCGAGCACGTGTCGGAACCTACCAGAACCTACCAGAATCGACTCCGATTCGCAGCCGCGTTCGCCCTTCCAGACCTCTGTCCGCGTCTTCTCGGGGGAGAGAGACGAAATAATACCGAGCGGAAGCGACCTTGTTAAAGCTTGACCGGGTCGTTCGTCTCGCAATAAACGATACACGAGGCTCGTTTTCTGTTCCTACACTGCAGTGAACTGGTGCAATAAATTGGAGTAAGACAAGCATATTGTTCTCTCATTCTAGCTTACTGCACTAGTTCACCAGTGCGCGAACAGAAAACAAACCTAATGCCCATTCTACACCTAGGGA